GATACAGACACTCCTTTAAAGAGCATATTTTAGATGAAGGAAATGGATGGTTTGAGAGAGGAGAGAAGGAGGCCACCTCCTCCAAACAAGAAAAAAAACACCTCTAAACAGAGAAGGATGCCTTCCGTTTTGCTGCAGGGACTCCTAAATTCCCTGAAAGGATGAATAACTATTATTTCATTTTATAATATTGAATTTCTGCTCAGAAAAACAACAACATCTGCATTAAACCCGATGCCCAGTCAGTTTCCAACCACTTTATACCTTCTTGTGTGTGGCCTAACAACTCTGAACCAGGCAGCAGTAACAAAGACCTATTGTTAGGGGGGTCCAATCTACATGAAATGTAAATCAGCAGAACTGCATTTCACAAGCAGATTTAGAACTTTGAACCTCTCCCTTACTATCTTTGTACTATCAAATATGTTTGGATGAAGGATAAACCTTTTTCACTAACTAAAGTCCATTTTTTAACCTTGCTATGTCCTGGATGACTTAGAACCCTCAGGTTTATACCCATGTAGAGAATTAATCGAACAAGATGTTATTTTGCGGTATAAGATAAGAGATTGTTGAACAATTGCTTCGACGTTTTAGATTGGTGCTCAGAAAACAGTGTGGAAATGCTGAACTTAGAATGCTGAACTTACCAACAAGGCACAGAAATGAAAAGCAGGACAAAGCTGCCAAGGCTGTTTAGAGAGAGTTGAAAATTTGTGATTGCCGTCATAAAGAGTAGCCAATCAAAGAGGAAAGATTAGGGAGAAAAAAGGGACAGTCAGGCCTAGAGAACAGATGTAGGACTCAGGAAAAAGTGACTGGACATTAGGCAGAGGCCGTGACGCTTTGAAGCCACTGAGCTGTTTCGCTTGGATCAGTCTGTGTGCAGCTGTCGGTGTGTCACTTCAACTGTTTGCCTCTATAAACCTCACACAAACAGATGCATAGCAGTCACACAAACAGGTGAGATTCTTAGACCATACGGTGGGTTCACCCGAGTTGTAGTGAAAGAACGAGTTGTGTTTTTTTTTTGTGTAAAGGAACTCTTGTGGTATTTTTGGAAAGGCCATTTAGTTTAAATAACTTTTTCCCTCATTCCAATTTGTGTGAAAAAATAACCCTACCGACATTTGATTTTTGTTTTAGTGTTTTTTTTGTTGTTGTTGTTTACTATAAAGATTGTTCTTTCCCTTAAGATGACCAGTCTTTAATTTCTCTTAAAATGTTTGTTTCATTATGTTCATATGTGTCCTGTTACATCAGTGGTCAGAAAAGTTTGCAAACCAAGCTGCTAAGTCTTCTAGAAGTTTAATGAAAGAAAAAAAATTATAAACATAAACAAAAAACAAGAAATATACACTATATACATAAACGTTTTTTTTCTAATAAACTAATACCTTTGAAAAATTGGTGACCGCTTAAAAATGTAAAGCAAATAGATGCATAGATACATTTAGTGTCCTTCTGCTGTCAATACTGTGCTAAATTTGCATTAAAACTGATAAAGTTATTAAAACCCACAGGAAAGAGACCAAGGTGCATTGTTGTAGACCCCAGCTCTTCTTAAATACCCTATGTATTACAATTTATCAGTATCTGTTCCTTTGCTTCAACTATGTCTTTCTTTTTATGTTCATACCAGCAGCTCTTTAAATTTAAACATTACATTCTACATTGTTAGTTGAAATTGTCGATAGAAAGACAAAGGTTTTACAACCTACTGAGAAATCATCAAAGGGTTGGAATTATTTCAAAATATTTGCAGATTAAGAAGGATAAGAGTGACAAGATTAGCGTCTCTGGGTTTCAGCATTAACACGCCCGCTTCTTCTAACAAGGACTAAGATCTTCTCATGTGATACAGCTGGTTTCATGAACCGGTGTTGACCTCTGTCTGCTCCCTGCTGTCCTTATGGAATCATTTTCAGACTACTTTTTTTTCCCTTAGCATTAGATCTTTTTTTTTTAGTAAACCTGCTAAATATATATCTATCCACTTCTGTGTGCTTAAACAGATACAATAGGCAAACATGATTCTTACATTAAAAAGGCAGTTATTCATTGCTGTCTCTACATAACCTTACTAATTGCTTAATTTCTTCTGTAAAGATATGATAAACCTCTTTATTTGTTGGCTGAGAAATATGTAATCCATCCTTTGTTGAAGTCAGTATTTGTTTAGCCATATAAGAAAATAAACACAAATTGTTGGACTTTTCAGAAGTACAATAGAAAGGTTTCTCTCTTTGAAACATGTCAAATATATCTTAGAATAGTATGACTGAAAAAGACAATTTTATGATTTAAAATTAAGGCTGTTACTTTATTCCAAAACACATTTTACTGACTGATAAAACCAGCTAACCATCAAACATTTAATTTCCATCTTTAAATCCATCCATTGTCTCTAAGGTGCAGATTCTAAGCTGAATTTTCCTGTAGTCTTTATATATGTATTATTTCTTTATATTTGACATATTTCAGTTTTTTGCCATATACTTTTAATGCTTACTACACATATATGAGTTTACGTGTAGTTTAAGTTCTGATCAAGATAAAAATTAACCAGACTTCTCCTTATGGTTCTTTATTGTTTTTCTCTTTGAAACTGTCATACATACTGTGATAAACATACCTTCTTATCAAGAGTTGAACTGGGTTCATATGCTTTAACTGATACAACTTTTGCATTTAATAATTTCTTTTGACATCTTCTTACTGATAGACATTGCAGGTGTTTATTATCTGTATTGTTTTTCATTGTTTTGATTAACTCTCCTTATTGTCGAGATCAATGCACTTTAAATCCTTTCTAATATACAGTATATGCCCTATAAATAAAGTTGACTTGGCACAGACATTCAGTATTACAGCATGTGCGTGTCTATTTGTAGTGTGTTGAGAACCATTACTTTGAGACAGAAATATATGGAGGACTCCACAGAGCTGTGGAGCAATAAACAGGACATGTGGGATGTTCAGAAACAAGCTGAAAATATGTTAATGGAAGCTTGGGCAGGAAGCCAGACACCTTTTGACAGAACAAAACCCCTTTTAGCAAGAAATGAAGAAACTAAAATAGAAGAAAGGAATGGAAGAGCAGAGAAAACTACAAAGATGGCCACATTTAAAGATTATCTGCCAGAGTGAAATCCCACCAGAAGACCCTCATTAGTAGTCTGAGCCGCACTTCAAGGAGAGGGCTTGTTTCTGATGGCAGCAATGTACAGTCAGGGTCAGCTTTCTTTATTTAGTCCCTCCACTGTGATAACAGAAAGCTGCAGTCAGCACTTTTACTGTATTGATTAATGAACAGCACTATAAGAGGGAGGGCTGCCAGTTATTATGGGATTAAATGCATTCCTATCAAGCCTTGCCATTTGACCACACACAATCCCGCAGTTAGAGGCTAAACTGAGAGCAAGCCTGCTGGTGTACTAGTAGATATTTAGTAGTGATATAACCTGAAATCTGGAGTTAGACGATATATTAAGTAGGCATATGAGTCATTTTTTTTCCTAGATGCTGTAAGGAGAAAACGTAATCCCTCTGAGTAATTGCTGCAGTGCCGCAGAACTATATTTGTCACAGTGTGACTTGTCTTCACTCTGAGTGGTACTTCTCTTTCAGCATGCATGCTGGTTTTGCTATGTGTTTGCTGTAATGAGTTATACTATTATAGATTTCCATTTGTCTAAAACAAACAACAGGTTTAACATAATGTTTTTCAATTACTGAGCCATACTTTAAACCCCTCCTAAAAAAACAACAAAAAACAAGTGTTTTTTCCTTCTTTTAGGTGTAACCTGTTGTTTCAGTTTACACAATGTAAGGACCATTTTTTTTATAAATTAAAAAGTATAAAGTGAGCATATAATTGTCTTAAGGTGGTCCAGAAGGTATAACCCATGCTACGGGCTGCATTCCCCACGAAAATCAGCATTTGTATATCTTTTTCTATAGTGCGTCTAAGTCAGTCTGAAATGCTGCAGCCTGGCGTGTGACTGTCTAAGAAATCCCCTTTTTTCAATTCTCTGTTACAATTGCTTATGGATGCTTTTAACAAAACTATTCGATTGACAATACTGTTATGTTTAAGGACAGAGTAAAAATTGAAGCAGAAACACTAAAATAAAGTTATCGGACAAAAAAGTAAGTACACCATTTCATTTGACCTGGAAACATTGAGCATAAGACTGTATTTTTTTACTTTTACTTATCTAGTTCAATCTAATGGAAAGAAAATAATTCCAGGTCATAACGTTTATTCAATTCACAGTTGGTTAGCTTTGGAAATTGCAACCTTTTTTATTTTCATCATTTTTGTTTTTGCATTCTTCATGTACATTTCTCTTTAATAAATCAGAAGATTACCACTGCAGATTCCATTTATTTCAATAACACAATTCATTAAGTAAAGCATATTACACCAATTAATCACACACTGATTGATGTTTTGTTTCCAGGCCTGTTAATTTTCTGCTTATAGTTAATAAAAACATGGCATTAAACACTAGGATATTCCAGCAGACCAACACAAAATAAATTTTTAACACAGAAATGTCGGCTTAATGAAAAGTTTCTTTAATACCTGCTTAAAGGGAGCACAGTTCTAAATGGTTTTTTTAAGTAACAAAAAAAAACCTCTTTGGAACCCATAAATCAAATGTCTTACACCTAGAGATATATTGATATCAGGCAAAGATATCCAGACTTAATTGAAATTGCAGGTTTGAAATGAGTTTTAATTTATTAATGGCAGGAAGTTCACCAATCCAACCTGGTCCAACGTAAAAATATATGTGACAAAAGGTGAATAGAGCTGTCTTTTCATATCTAATCTTTGTTATTATTTTTTCTAGATACTTATATTGAAATGATATCCTGAGGGAGTTTTGTTTGCTATCATTCATTTCAGTTCTGGAAGGAAACAGAGGAGTGTAATAATTTCAGCACTAATGCAAAAGGCTTACACAGCAGAATCATTTCAGAATCAGTCAGCAGTCCGTGTCTATTAAACAATTTTTTTTATGAAGTAAAAAGCACATTTTAGACTTAGATGCACTTATGAACTCGTAGAATATAGACTGCTTTTATACCTGATTTAAGCATAGTTACTACTGGAAAATCTGTTTACTTTTTTCAATCAGAGTTTACTGATGAGCCTCTGCAGAGTTTGTGTAATTATTTAGCATTCAAACATGAGTATTGCTATTTAGATCATGTGACTACAAACGTATTAAGCTCCCTCCAATGTATTAACAAAATTAGTGGGGACACTAGTCTGTGGAGCAAAAGTTTCATTTAAAAAAGTCAGCCAGTGGCGCCCTCTGCTGGTAGGCTGGGTTAGTTGAGGAATCCCAGTCAGTAGTAATGTCAATCTATTCTTAAATAAATGTAATCTTATTAATTTTTAGGTAAACAAAGACAGCATAAAAAAAGCATGAATCTGCTTCATATAGAAACTTGCTATATTATGCAACAAAATTCTATTTCTGTAAGTAGTGCAATGTTTCTTGCAATATTAAATCTTTTTTTTCTTTAGATTGTCTTTATCATAATTTTATTGCAGCATAAATGTAACATGCTAACGTGCAAAAATTTGAGAGATAATTAAAATGCTCTGCAGAGATATGGAGCAGAAATAAATAGGTCTCTTCAACATTTACCACAAGAGTATCCATTAAAACGATGAAACTATAAACATTGAATATAACCTCTGGGTATACATGCCTTTTAATTTAACACAGTAAGCTTTGCAGGATAACTACACATGACCAAAAGTTTTACAGATCACACTGATTTTGCAATCTGGTCTTTATAATATGCAGCATAACTGAGTGAGCAGCTTTCAGCTTAGGATGGTGGTCCATATGAGGGGTTGTAGGGGGGCTGTGAAGCTTCCTCTGGTAGCTGTGGTGCATAAGGCTGGTTGGGAGGAGTCAAAGGGTACATTGGCTGCCCTTGTATGTAGGGAGCTGGAGTGTACGATGGAGAAGCTAAAGAGATGAGACACAATTATTATTTAATCTGTTAAAGAGATTAATATGTTTTGAGGCATGTATCACATACTAAAAGTTTCCATATCCAAAGAAAACCTTTAGTTTTATCTTAGTGCTAAGCTGCCAGAGCAATACTTTATACTTGCATTTCCAGACCTTCTGCGTTACATTAATGCACAGTCTACAGTTTACATAGTATATAGCTATGTACTATATATTGCATGTAGTATATTGTATGTTTTATGTTGTATGTAGCTATAGATTCTGTATTCTGTATATATATCTATTTCGTCTGCACCATCAACACCAAGTCAAATTCCTTGTAAGTGCAAACCTACTTGGCAATAAACTTAATTCTGATTCTGATTTTATTTTATGAAGTATATTCTGAGCTTACAGCCTCAGAGTATGATGTACTTCATCTACTTAGTTAAACAACCACAAACTAAAGCTGCTACCTGTTGCTCATCAACACCTGTGTATAGATCACGTATCAGAAGATCTTTATTAATTATTAAGTGTCAAAAAATACTATCTTTACAGGCTATAAACATTATATAGACTGTAAAGTTGACATAAAAAGACTTGTCATAAAAATGTATATATAATACATATAAATGATTACTTTGTGATATTTTAACACCAGTCTCCTTAAAATGAAGTTTACTGATTCTGATTCTATGCTAAAAGGAACGGACTGCAGATTTGCATAATAGTTAGATTAGAAATTCTAAATCCTCAGATTTGTCTATCATTATCATTTTTAATCAGTCTTAGAGTGAGGGTCTGAAATGAGATTTTGCAGCTAATGAACAACTTACTGCACTCCATATATGATGGCGGCGGGGCACTGGGCATCGCCAAGCCCTCTTGTCCCGAAACAGGCTGATATCCCGAAGGGGGTGTTGGATATCCGGATGGTGAGTAGGGAGGCTGGGGCATGCTGGCTACAGTATTTGTTACCGCTGGAGAAAGAAATACATTTACTCTGACTACATGATGGCAGATATGTTTGACCACTTAATGTTAAAAAGTAAAGTTTTCACACAGTGAAAGACTTTTTATGATAAGATGCTGAGATGTAGACTTATATGACGGATATTAAACAGGATTTTTTCACATCTTACAAAATGTGTCATTGTTGTACTTTTAAATCTTGTCATGTTACACTACACACTTTTAAGTGTTTTATCCAGATTCTATGTGATGAACCAAAAGAAAAATGAACCCTCAAAGTGTAACTACTGTGATATAATCATATTTTCCTTTTTTTTTTCTTCTTCTTTTTTTTTTAACATAAATTAAACTTTACCATAGTCAGTATATTACCTTTTTGCTCTACAGTATCTGCAGGCTTCTACAGTAAAGGAGAATGCATATCATATCTGAGAATTTCGTCTCAGCTGATTGCTACACTCTACGAATAAAATAGCAAATCCTGCTACTGGCCTGAGTTGGTTCACAAGGTTCCTATCTGGCTGTCTATAAACAAAAACCCAGGATATGCTCATATTTACCCCAGACCATATTCTGGAGGTGGATTATTACATTTTAATTTATGGATATTAGAGTAAGAGGCCTTTAAAAATCAATACAGGCTAATCTTAACAGATTATGTATAACTTCCTTTCAACTTAACTTTGCTTTGCGCTGGTCTATCAGAACGAAATCCTAATATATGTCCAGCTTTTTGGTTTTTTTATGCAAGGCTGTATTATATGTATCTGCATCACTAAACCTGCTGTTTGCAGAGGCTTAACTGAAGGAAAATTAGTTGCTTACCTGCTTGCCCGCGGTGGCGTTGTTTTTTACATATTTTGTGGCAAAGGCAACAAGGGACGACACAGCAGACGATGAGACACACACAGATGATGGCGAAAACAACTGCAGCTGCGATTCCCACAATCAAACCAATTTTACCACCGTTAACAGGCCTACAAAAAAGAGAGCAAGCAATGTTTTTGATTTGTTTAGTTTTTTGTTTGTTTGGCTTTGGAATCATTTGGATTGAAGGAAAAGAAGAACTGAGACATACCTTTCTGGACATTCATTCTGTTCTTCCTGAGTTAAACGTTTATTTTTGTCACTGCAGCAATATCTATACCAACAGTGACCACAGCAATATTTATCACACTCCACCGAAGGGTTTAAATTATTGTTTGAATCGATGTATCTAGTGCAATGATCCGCTGTAAAAGATATAGTAAAAGAGATTACTGACAATTATGGAAGCAGCATGAAAGTGTAACACTGATCCCTGTGAAAAGAGGCAGAGCTAGAGATCTTGTTGTGGATAGAAACATAACTGTTTACAAAGCCCCCATCAGAGCCATGCTGTTCTCTACTGTTTAACCAATTTATCTTTACAGTTATTTTTTTTTTCTTGAAATGTGACTAATGAGTGCCTAAGCTAACAAAAAAAAGACAGAAATGATAGGAAAACTCACCCCATACTCTTTGTACCATAACCAAACAGAAAATAGTGAAAACCCGGAGCAAAAGACCTGAGACCCTAACTGCCATGATGCACAACTCTGGGAAAATGAGACTAACCGCAATGAGATAGCTGTTGGAACCTGTGAGACCCACCCAGAGGCAACTAACCCAACAGCATTCCTAAACACATGGAAACACTTCTTAGCTTTAGATGGTAAAGGAAGGTCAAACCTTTTAACTGATCTAAATGACTGCAAGTCTTTTAGATCGTGGTCTGTTATGATTTCCTTCTCAGGAAAAGGTTTAATAGATTTTATTTCTCCCAGGGGTTTGGAAGTCTTCAGAGCAAAAGGTAAACTTCCGGAGCTGACAGGCAGTAAGAGTCACAGAACAGGTTATGTCGGTCAATGAAAGGCGCATTAATGCAACAGCAGAGATTCAAATGCCCTCAAATCCAGATTTTCTGGTTATTTTAACCTATTAACTTAACACTCTTCAGCATTTAAACCCCAATATTTGTAAGAAAACATACAATAATAAGATATAGATAAGTACGAGTATTTTTACACTACTATAAGAGGAGTATTTCTATTTTTTTAGCAGAGAAGTCAGACTTTTTCTTCATTCAAGCTATATTTTAATTATATGTCCTCATACAAAGCTGACAAACCTTCTTATTTTTATGGAAACTCAAACTGAAACCAGATTCAGACTCTTAAGATGTTTTTCTCTTCTGCAAGATGTGATTGCAAAAAGTACCTCTGCCCAGATTTGCTTCAAACTACAGTACATTATGTTTAATGTATCCACCCAGTCTCTACAGATCTCTTTTATTAAGCATCTAAAGGCAATGCTGCAGCCTCTTCCTCATACAAAAAGGAGGGGTTTTTTTAATTCCTCATTGAACAAGCACGTTTAGTGGATTTCTACTTCTGTTTTTACAGCACTGCAGACCTTATGTCTTTTTGTAGTTGGAAAAGTCCCTTCACAATATTTTATTTACTTTGGAAATGTTTTCACTTAGGCCTCACACCTGCCTGTTTAGAAGAGAGAATAAGAATTCCCAAAACAAGCCAGACTTGTTCCCAAGGTTTATTCAACATTTTACTCTGTTCTTCAACTGCCTGTAACTTGCTTTGATTAACTGCATGTGGAGACCTTCACAGCTCTTTTGCAGTATCTAAATAGTGGGAGAAACCCTGTCTAGATTAGAGCTGGGAAGAACATCGAGCTGTGTGTTACGATCTGTCTTGTTCTCATCTTTGCAAAGATAAAATAAAATGCTAAATTACCATTGATCGTCTTTATTTAACTGGATTGCGTTGTTGAATACTTTTTCCCTAAGACACATTTCTACATCTGGTTTTAATTTTATCTGTATCTTTCTTTAAAACCAATAGATAATAAAGATGGTCAATCGGAGCTGTAATTATCTCCCAATAATTAATTTCACAGGGTGTGAAGTTGATTGGTAATTGCAACTTTTCGAAGAAAGAGATCTTATGTTAAATAAACCATATTTAATCGTGTGATTTATTTGTTTATAAACCACATGATTACTTGGTGATTGGTTTATTCAAACCGAGTACCCTCATAGCAGTAGGGTACTTGGTTCGAATCTCCCTGGAGCGGAGGTCTTGAACAGGGGGTCCGTGACCCCTAGGGGGTCCACGGAGGTACTGCATGGGGGTTTATATTCCCCCCTGCAATTTTTTTCCACTAATTGAAATGTCTTTCAATAGACATTAACATGAATTCAACACACTGTAGTAAACAGATAAATGGAGGCAGAAGATGTCTTTCAGTCATCAATGCACACATTCAGCGACACACAGGAGCTGTTTCAAGCTGGGAACCGTTTCATTCACAACACCTGTCCCATTAACGAGGAATCAGAATCAGAAATACTTCAATAAAATTACTTTCATTACATTACTTCAAATGTAGTAGAGTGACTATAGAACCAGTTTAATGCAACACAACTTCATACAATATATATAATTAGGGGGTCCCTGCTCCATCTCACCATGGGTTTGGGGGTCCTTGGCCTGGAAAACTTTGAAAACCCCTCCCCTAGAGCAATACTGAAGTGTAAAAATGTGGTTAAGCATCCTAAAGACTAAAATATAAAAAAAATAAATAGAAATAAATTTAGAAAATAAATCTTTTTTTTATTTAAAACTTATGAAACCAACTCGTAGAGTTGAAAAAATATCATTCAAAAAGTATATTTTTAATGCAAGTAAATAAACTTTTTTTTTTTATTAAAACAACAAGGCATGTGTAGAAACAAGCTACTGCAGGTGTGTGTGGTTTTTGGTGCATTAAGGATTTAGTTCATTTTAATTGGTTTATTCCAAGTCAGGCACAAAACATACAGTATTATTTAAATATTATTCTATAGAATACAAAAAGAAAGAATAATTTTAGGACTGGGATGAAGACAACGTATTTGCTCCCTTCATGGATTTCCATAAATAATATGGTTGCTTCCATTTACAGCTTCATAACCAATTACTCAGTGGCCAATCAATGGAGCAAATTATATCTTTAATATACGTGAATGGAAAAAAAAAACATATGCAATATCTGTTATAGCAACAACTACATATCAAAGGTCCTTTAATATATAGTTGAACATTTATATACTGCAGTTTTACATTGTTTAATCAATTGTTTCAATAGCTAACTATATCCTGGTATAAACTGAAGTGGGAGTCCAATATAAATTTATTAGAGAAATAAAAAATACTCTTCAACATACATGGCACTAATTTTGGAATATTTTATATTTTAGAAAGCTATGTATCATGACAAAACCACCTCATTGGGCCGGATTTATCAAGATCCAATTTTGCGCGCAGTAATTTGCGCTCGCAAACTAAAATTTTGCGCGAGGGGCTGAACCATATATATATATAAACTTTGGCATCCTTTATTCCCTAAGGTGGTATGTGGCTGAATT